GCCCCTCCTCCGGTCGGCCCCTTCGTTTGAGACTTCCCGGAAAATGAGCACTTCTGCCTTGTGTTTATCCGACCCCGAGTTTACAAATTACATGTTTAGCCTGAATGCACGAGGAAAGGTTTATGTGTAGGGTGTGTAGCGACAACTCGCTCCCATGTCATAGTTTGCTTATTTGTTGTTGCTTTTCAATATCCTTGTTATTTACAAGGCCTCGCTCCCCCTTCGTTTGAGACTTCCCGGAAAATGAGCACTTCTGCCTTGTGTTTATCCGACCCCGAGTTTACAAATTACATGTTTAGCCTGAATGCACGAGGAAAGGTTTATGTGTAGGGTGTGTAGCGACAACTCGCTCCCATGTCATAGTTTGCTTATTTGTTGTTGCTTTTCAATATCCTTGTTATTTACAAGGCCTCGCTCCTGCATTCTTCGTGTCTTTCTCCTAAGGGAGGGCAAGCTACTGTAAAGAGTGCTAAGTCAGCAAAACAGGGGTAAGTCAGATGAAAGAACGTAGTGGGGTTACAGTGGAAGTATAGGAAGAGGCCGAACTAATTAAAAGATGCAGAATTGCAGTGATGAAAGTTTAGAGTCTGTAGATAAGCTCCGTTACCGTGAGCTGAGACCGCGCAGCCTCCAGCAGAAACATGCTTTGTAAACATAGAACAAGCCACACAAAGAAATGTACATCTTAAACAGAAACATGTAGGAAGTCGTGAGCACTAACAAAAAATTGGAGACCATCATTAATTCTGTGAAGTGTTACTAGATGTAAAATTTAGAGCCTACAAGAGCCAAAAAATAACTTTGGGAACTTAACTGCAATTACTGGAGGGCCCCATCAATAGAATGTAGACCCAAAATCTTCTACAAGATTAAATCATTATGCGGAAAAAAAACCCAGAGAGATGACAACTAAACAGCAGAAGAAAATAGAGCATGCTAATTTCCTTTCTGTAGTCTTGTGAACTCTTATATTTGATAATACTTTGCTAGGGTGAACTCCAGTGGTTAAGGAGTGCATATGCTGTGCATCAGTAATTTTGTCCTTAAAGATCTATGATGCATATGATTTAATACAGAGAACAAAGTGCACATAAAAAGCATATATGACATTTTTGTTCAATAGCTGAAGCACATTAGCTTCAGCTCCTTCAAAAAAAAATCTCTAATCAACTGCATGACAAGCTACGAGCTGACATATATTCTTGTGTGACCAGTCAGATGACATGACTCAGCAGAGAAAATTTTAGAGGCCTAAGGTGTAAAGTTCCTGTCGTTTGGTAGCAATATTATGTTTTTTTTCTTGGACTGTACAAAGAATTCTGCGTAAAAGCAGGGAATTAAGCTGTTTTAAAGCAGAATGTAATAAAGCCTAGAGTAGGTTTTCATGGCAGTATTCTACCACATTCTATGTTTAAGTACTGTAGCAACTTCCTCACAAAGCCTTTTTATCTTACACCTACAAGCTCTACAATAGTCCCTCTGAGTTCTGTGATTTTGTTTTAATTCCAGTTTGGACTATGCATTTGTTACCTCAGCAAATAATTTCTGTTTTGTGCAAATGTTTTTTCCCCCGTATGTCCTTGTTATTAATCATATACATTCTTCAGGCATTTATTTGACACAAATTAAGTCAAGCTCCTGCTATGCAGCTCTTAATATGTGAGGGGGCTGGTGCCTGAATGTGGCACCCACTTATTTAAGAGTCCTAGAATTTTACTTGTATCAGTCACACTGGCACAATTCTGAGCAGTGTTTGTAAACTTAAAAGCTTTGATTCAGTATCCTAGCAGTGAATTAGGGAAAGGAATTAGCACTTCCCAAAAGATTATGCAGAGGGTCTTTTTCCTGTACTATGAAAGTAGTCTTTGATCACTCGGATTGCTCAGTGCTCCTTGCTGTGCTTTGGGATGTGGTTACTGTATGAAAAGCTTAATACTGGTTTTAATCTTGGCAACAAGACTAGTAGTACATTGTGAACTAAAATTACAGTGTGCATGGAAAGTCCATAGTCAAGTGTTTGCATTATGTTCTTTGGGAGTTTGCTGCAGGACAGTTTGTACAATTGTTTACTCCTGTGGTGGCAGTAGAAGGCTAAGCTCTGAAGGATGCCAACAGAGTTGGACCACAGGGGTAGGGCAATTATCAAAAAACAAGGCATCTTCCAAAAAGAAGGACACAAAAGAGATTGTGTCCAAAAAAGGAAACAAAAAGGATCATAAATCTTCATGAAATGTGGAAACACATTAAGGCACGCTAAAATGAGTTACTGCAACAACCAGCAAAAGGGAATCTATATTAGTA